TTGATATTGACCTCCCCAAGGCAGATATTGATGTGAAAGCACCAGATGTTGATATTGAAGGAGCGAATGTAAAAGTGAAAGGTCCCAAATTTAACACGCCAACTTTGTCTGGACCAACAATCTCCATGCCAGGTGTTGACATTAACTTGGAAGGACCAAAACCAAAGGGTGTCCTGAAAGGAGAGGTCATATTACCTAAAGCTGAACTTAAGGGACCAGATGTCAAATGCGATGTCCTGGAACACAGCTCCAAAAAATCTAAGTTTAAAATGCCAAAGGTTGGATTCAAGAGTCCAAAGATAAAAACCTTAGAGACTGATATTAAACTGGAACATGGAAATGTCAACATAAAAGGAAAGTCTGGTAGCTTTGAGGGTCTTGACCAAGAACTGACTTTGACTGGTTCAAAATCTAAAGGGTCTAAATTTAAGATTCCAAAATTTGGACACAAAAGTCCAAAGATTGAAGTGCCTGATGCAGATCTGTCAAAATCTGGTGGAAATTTAAGCATTGAGAGCTCTGGTGGCAAGATAGGAGGACCCGAATTTAATACACCCACAATTTCTGGACCAAAAATATCTACATCAGATGTAGACATAAACCTCAAAGGTCCAAAAATAAAAGGTGCAAGTGATCTTTCTATTGAAGCTGGTATGAAAGGTCCAAAGGTTGAAATTGAGGAGCCTACAGGTGGAGTGGACATGCCAAAAATCAAAATACCATCTTTTGGTATTAAACTTCCACAGCTGGAAAGATCAGATCATACCACAGCTGTTCCAAATGCTACCATTGATAAAGAAATCTCTAATGTTGATATTGAAGCTGGTGAAATGGATGTTGAAGGTCCTGAGGCAAATCTCAAAAGCCCAAAATTTAAACTTCAATCAGCATCAGGACCCACTTTGCCAGACTTTAACATTAATCTGACAGGGCCTAAAACAAAGGGTGATGTTAAAGTTGACTTAAACCTGAAAGGCCCAAAACTTGAAAGTGATATGGATGGTTCAAAAATTAAAGGAAAATTAACAAAACCTGGAGTTGATATCAAAGCTCTAGAGGTTGATTTGGAAGGGCCAAAGGGTGCATTTGAAATTCCTAAAATCAAAATGCCATCAGGGCCAGAAGTTGATTTAAACTTTTCTAAAGCTGACATGAACACTAAAACACTTGAAGCAGACATTAAAGGAACAGAATTTGAATCCTCTGAAGCAAGTCTTGATGCCCCTGACATAAATATTAATGTAAAAGGTAAAAAGGGAAAGTTTAAAGTTCCAAAAGTTAAAGGAAAAGATATGAACCCAGAGGCTGATATAAAAACACCAGAGGTAGACCTAAGTGTTGATACAACTCATATTCATGGCAAGGGAACAAAAGCTAAGAAACCTCTTTTCGGTAAACTTCATTTTCCTGATGTAGAGTTAGATATAAAATCTCCAAAGCTAACAGGTGACGATACAGATTTATCATCCAAAAGTGCAACAGGTTATTTGGAAGGTCCTGATGTTGAAGTAAAAGGTATAAGAGGTGGTCCACAGTTTAGTCCAAGTGTTTCAGGACAATCAGCCAGTGGCCTTCAATACCCAGAGGGTAAAATACACTTTCCCAAAATCAAAATGCCAAGATTTGGTGTTCTTCTTCCTACGGTGGAAGGCCAGGATGAAAATAGTGGGTCTCAGTCAGTCAATCTTCAAGTTAGTTCAGAAAATATTGACATTCCAAGCCCAGAACAGAAGCATGGCAATGTCAAAGCAAAGGTGAAGGTGCCAAAATTGTTTGGCAAATCAAAAGCAAAAGGAAGTAGTACAAGTGACCTTTGTGAACCAGAATTAGGTTTAGGTGTAAGTGGTAAAGAAGGAAGTGCTGCTAAAGTACATTCAGGTGAAATGATTAGTGGAAAATTTGGCCTAGAAGGTGATTCTGGTGTCAGTTTATCAACTAAAGGAAAGTCAGCCTCACTGGATCTATTTAAAAAATCAAAGCATCGATCCTCCTCTGCAAGTGATGAAGGTTCACTAGCTGCTGTTAGTTCTCCTTCCGCTCTTTCAGAAACTGAGGGTGGTGACATTTCGATAGATGTAGGAGACAGTAAGGGCAAAGGAAAGAAAGGCAAGTTAAAGTTTGGCACGTTTGGAGGTTTTGGGTCAAAGTCAAAGGGCTCATACGAAGTGACACTTGGAAACGACAATGAAGGACAGATAGAAGGGGCTACAGATGTTTCTGTGCCTCTCAAAAAATCCAGATTGTCGTCATCCTCAAGCAGTGACAGTGGGTCAAGAGGTGGCTTCAGGTTTCCAAAACTTGAGCTAGTTACACCAAAAAAGTAACAGTAAACGCAATTAATCTTTCTTATATGCACTCAAATACAATCTTCTATTGCAGTTTAAATTTTGAGTTTTGAATGTTTAATCCTAGAATATAGATTTTTGTCTCTGTTTACCAAAGATTGATTATTTTAAAGAGAATTTAATAGGAGTGCATCAGATTGTTAATTTTTTTTCAAACTGTAAATAAGATAAATGTATACTTTTATTAATGAACATTGTTTGTACATAGTCCAGATTTATTAATCTATTACATGACACATAAATTTACATTTTTTTTTCTATCCTTTTAAATAAATGTTTTTATTGAATAGATTGCATATTGCTATGCAGGGGTCTCATGAAAAGAAAAGACACCACAGTTGTTTTGAAGGAAAATGCTCTTTTTACATTCAAACACAATTTTATTCAGTTGCCATTCTAATGTGTGTACAATGATTTATTTTCTATGCTTCACTATAAGTCAGTGCAGAATTGTATTTTTAACATATAATTTCGACAACATTCTGAAAACAAACATTGTATATAGCATAATTGCAAAGACAATCCTTTTGGATATTCTTTGAAGTGCTTATTTTTCTTCTGATTGCTGTCTCTTCATTTAAGAAAAGACATATTTCCTCCAAGTTTTTGTCACATAAAAAAGTTCATTTGTTTTGTTTATCTTAAACTGGTATCTAAAATCCTGTCTTTTTTTTTTTTTTTTTTTTTTACATCCTTACCGGTAGTTATGGTCTGTATTTAATTTCATGTTGACACTTTCTTTTTGTATTGACACTTATCATGTTACAGTCACCTTTTGATGTAATCTGTTTTCAAATAACTACAGCACAGTTAGAAATCTGTATACCATTGGTCATATTATATGGAGTGCATCTTTTTTGGAACCATGCTTTTGTGTGCATTCTGCTAAGTAAATGAAATAAACAGATTTATATAGTTAATTCTTGTTTTTCAACTTGATTTACCAGCTGTAAGAGTAAGCTAAGTTAATGTCTCAAGTCCCATCACCAAAAGCAATTAGTAAATAGTAGATTGCTGATCATATGTAATACTGCACTGTAGATGTAATGTTGGTATATAACACAATGGGATAAAAATTTTTGCCATTCCAAACCTTTATGTTGCCTTAGCATTTGTGTAATAAATAAAAACACAATTGAATTTGTGGTGTATCTTTAAACTTAAAAAGCTGAACTGAAAAAAACCCACAATGTAATAAAATTTAGGAGGTTTGTGCAAGTTCAATGCAAATGCCATGTCAAGGCACCATCAGAATAAGAATCAAGTTTTTTGCCAAAAAGGTTTGTACAAGGAATTTGACTTGGTGTCGATATTGCAGATAAATTAGATATAAATACAGAATTCAAAATCTATAGCTATATACAATATAAAACATGCAATACAATATATAGTATGTAGCTATATACTATATACATGGTAGACTGAGTTGATGTAATGCAGGAGGTCTGGAGATGCTATGTTGGTGTAGCTTCTAGGTCCTGAATTGGGGAGAGAGAGTCAGTGTCATGGGGGCCTCTTCTTATTGAACAAAGAAACACAGAGCTCTATTAAATTTATGATAGTATAGAAACTAGTTAGGCATTAATAGAGGTTCACATCAATCCTAATGATTCCCTTAAAATAGAATAATTCACACTGTCCAATCAGACTCTAATTATTATTCAGCACAAAGGCAGTTGATCTTATCATGCAAACTACTTTAAAATATAACCCACTATAGGAGCCAAAATGAAGACTAATACATACCATATCAATTCCAAAGACAGCTACTGATCCGAATAATTATAAGCTTTGCATGTATCAGGTTATGTTTCATATTGTTGCTTGACATTATTTTGAATAACAGTACATTCTGTCAAAGGAAACGCTGTAAATTTAAGTTGCTTCTAGAGATTGTATGCCAACTATATTTCTTGATTAAATGTTCTTTCTTTTTTTTTTTTTAAAGAAGGATGCATGTATTATACTGAGTGACCAGCCAAGGCATGCTTCTCACCAGCAACTCCAATGCTAACACAAGCCTATCCAAGGCCAGCATCAGCCTTTTAAATGACTGGCCCAGCCTGTGGAAAGCTAACACCCTCATTCTGTTTTTATCAGTGCTGGCCCATGTTATCACTGCCATTCTATTATTAATCTTATCAGTAGCCCCCAACATGCCTTATTTTGATTGACCTGGCTTAAAGAATTAAATACATTTAAAGTGTTCCTGTTCACTTTTATACTCCAATAACAGCTGACACAACAGAAATCAGCAGTCAAACCAATACTTTACTATCACTTTAACTTGTTTCACTGTCTTGCTATTTTAGAAGTCACACACAAATTTCTGCCACTATACAGTGAAAAACTATCTATAGTGGCTTTACACTAACATAATTTTTGTTTTGGTGCCACATGAGGACAAAAAGAAGTAGGTTAATTAATCTAAAGAGTGGGTTTATTTAAAAAGTGTTTTGTTTTTTACATATTAGCTATAAATAAGACTGAAAAACTCTTTGAATTTCAAAAAAATTACACTCTTAAGGTGACGACCAGGATCATCACACATCATGTTTAAGTAAGACTTCAATTCTTTTGCACAAGTTTTACTGTTTTTAATATTTTTATCAGCTGATATAAACATACAGTAAAAAAAGTACACAGTGTATTGTTCCATACTTTAAGTGTTTTTCTCCAAAATTAGTTAATGTGTAAATGTGTAATAATCCTTAAATATTCCACAATTTCACATTATATTTCTACATGTCTGTTTGATTTAACAGTTAAAGTTAAATCAACATTGAAACGAAGGGAAACTAGAGAATGTTAATATCTTACAATGGAGACAAAGTATTTTTTTGACACGGTAAGACATTTTTAAACCTAATTACGCAAGAAATTATTTACATTCAATTATTGAATAAAAAACAATAATAGTGCTATAACATCAGTTTGCAGATGTCTCAGGTTAAAAACATGACCTTCGAACTCAAGGACTGTTGTCCAGCTGTAGTGTTTTAAATATTTTTTTTTAATCAATATTCAGCTGAAGTCTCACAGAACCTGTATGAAATACTATCATCGGTGAGTCTCTGCAAATTACAATACAAGCTAATTTTTTAAACATTTCTGGACTTAGGTTGTATTATTCAAGTAGGTGATTTCAGCTGTCCTTCTTGACATAACTGAATGACAGTGAGGCAATGCAGGGGCATAGGAATCAGTGATGCGGTTTATATTTTACGAAATTGTATACTAAAAAAATAGCAAATAAAAAGGGTATCAGGAACATAAATGCAATTACCTACTTTCTACGTTCTATGTTTTTATTAATTATGTTGTTCTTTTTGTTGCAGTAGTGCGCCCCTCATTAGCTAGCACCATAGGAAACAGGTTATGGATGCAATTTCAAGAGCCAGCCCAAGCCAGTGTAGGTTGGAAAACAAATTGTTCCCTTTGCACCACTTTTGAATCTGCTTGGGAATACCTTCAGTCTATATTTGATATCTATGTGTGTCGGAAGTAAAGCCTATGGTTATTACATAATATAAAAAAAAGGGGTTTTACATTAAAAAAAGGCTGAGGAGAAAGACCCTGCTCATACTTTGGTTTAGGATCTTCAGTAGGTGGGATGGGGGAGGCAAACATCAAACAAGACAAGTCAACACAAACAACTTTACATCCATCCAGTCACATTTACACAATCTCACCCTTACAACTATACATACATAGACAAGCACTCAACAGAGACACACACTAAGGCAGACATTGTCCTCCCAGGTCAGAGAGCCAATGCTTGTAGAACAGGGGTCTGCAACCCCAACTGCTCAATTATCATATATATAAAAGAGTATATATATATATATCTATATATATCTCAGTGGCGGCCGGCCAATAGAGGATTCTAGGGCACCGCCCCATCCACCCAATGACCCTGATTAAGACATTAAAAAAAAATATATATATATTAAACACATTCTCAGAAAATAAAACGTTTTTATATATTGAAAATATGAAGCAGACTAATACCTTCCCAATTATTAAACTGGTACATTTTTTTAGGTTTGTGACACAAAATTGGACCATGCAAAACACAAATTTATCTTCACAAAGCCTCAGAAGAGCAAGATTTATGTACAAAAGAAAACCTGGTATTCCTAGGATTATTCACTTGGTATTGCTATGTAAACCACAATGGCTTTCCTCTGCTTTTTGTCCACCACCACAATGTCCGGTTGGTTTGCCATTGCCATTGGGTCCATCTGTATCTGGAAGTGCCAGAGGATCTTGGCTATAAATAGGATATATAATATAATTGACAGGTTTACTTTTTTGTTTTGAAAATCACACGTAATTCGTCCTCTTAATTAAGATTTCAACAAAGTTATAAATTCTTTTTTTTGTGTGCTCATTTTGTACTTTGTTTTTGCTGCAAAAAATACTTCCAATTAAAGATGTCCCACTTTAACACAGTGTCTAGAATTCCTCAAGTAGCATAGTTTTAGCATCACTTTGTTTAGAATCAGCATATTTTTCCTTTAGGGTACCTTTTACTTTTCTGTTATTAATAAATTTACTGAAAAAAATAATCATCAGATTAATAGATTAGCAAAAATATTTGCTAGTTTCAGCACTAATCTCTATCCCTTATATTCAAAAGTCGTATATTGTATATATGTTTTGAGTAAGAATCTATTAAGTGGTTAATTTTTTTTCAATCAAGGGTAAGCAATAATATGAATGTCGGTCATATAGTTATAATTGATGATTTGCTCAGTTACTAGGTGTTATTCACTAGCTAACATGTGAGTCTGGACGTCTGTTGAAGCCCAGTTTGTCTTTACCATTAGTAAAAATCAATAAAATGGATTCCAATTTCAAGTAGAGTTATTAATTATCAACCACAAGTGAAAAATTGTCTCAGTCTATTTATTTTTATTTAAAATAATCATAAACAATGTTGTGCCATTTTATATTCAAAAGGAACTAGCTCAAAGTTCAGTTGAAAAAGAACTCATTCACGTTCATTGTTCACGTTGTAAAAAATGAACTAAGTTCACAAACCTATAAACTAGTTCAAGTTCATATGGTAAATTAGGCCACAATCCTACACAATAGAACCTCATATTTCACCCTTTAAATGTGTGATCAAAATATATAGAAAGAAATGGAAAATGCCCCATGCAGTCAAGGTATACTGTATACTGTATGTGCATTAAAGCCTTAGCTCAATTATACAACACATTAGACCACAGCTACATTCAGGTTCTGCTGAAAGGATCTGAAAGGATCTGTTTAAAATAAGATTTCTTACTTTCCTCATTCAGTAGCAGATATTTCCCAAGATAGTGTTGATGCTTTAACTCGACGTGCCATTTTAAATTTGAAGTGGATGCCGCTGATCAGTGTGTGAAATACCTGTCAATATTTGGGGGGGGTCCCCATTTCCTGATTGTTGCACAATACCAATCTAAATTTTCTCAATATGCAGTAGGCCTATAACATTGCAATGTCAAAGTCAGCTTTAATGTCAATTCTTTACAGTTACCAGACATACAAGGACTCGAGAGGACATTCCTCATTCACCAACAGTGAAACAGATTGAGTGCACAGGCACAACAGATGAGATCAGTTCCTAATACTAAAATTTAAACATTCAATTTCACAATAAAATATAAAATGTACAATAATATAAAATATACAATACTTATTACAGTATAGTGCAAAAAGGCAGATGGTAATGGCAGCAGAAAAATTATTATTACTAATTATGTAAAATATAGTATTTGTAACAGTAACAGTGCAAAAGAACAGTAAATAAATATAGTAATAAAATTAGCGCAGGAGACAGTCAGTCTATGAAAACACACACACGGACAAAGACTGTCTCTCTCTCTGTCTCTCTTCGTTTTTTTCTCTCTCTCTGTCTGTCTCTGTCTCTCTGTCTGTCTCTCTCTTTCATGCACGCACATGTCCTGCTTTAATCCAATTTCTAAAGAATGGAACTGGGTCGAATTTGTCCAGAGGACGTCCGTTGAGGTCCACAAACATGAGTGAAGACCTGCAATCTGTTTCGCGTCTGGTTGCTTGTGTTAATTACTGCGGAAAAGCACATGGCTAGTTTGCATACGCGAACAGGATTGGCTGGCTCCACTTGGCAAACTACAGAACATATTTGTGAATAAATGTTTTGAATTTTAAATACTGGACATTTTAGTGACCATTAGTGACAAAAAAATATTTTATTTTTAATTTTTTTGACACAATTTAAAACCCCTTTTAAATTTTGCTTTTGAGGCTTTCAGGTGTCTCATGGGTTAATCGGGGGGTCGAGCCCTCCCGGACACCCCCGTATTTCGCACTCTGCCGCTGACGTATGGGTTTGTTTGTTAGGTCCTGGTGGGCACAGTTTGCATAAAAAGATTAGTTTTTTTCTGTCTGAGTCTTCCTTTGTTAGTTAATAAAAACTCAATGCAAAACTGGCATCAGAAATAGCTGAAGACAAGTGTAAATCGCACAGAATAGTACTGGCAGTAGACATGCTGGTCTGTCATGCTGTTTGCCATAATAAGTGCCATAAAACCTGACCCGGTAAAATCCTGTTATTCAATGAAAATTGTAGTTATCAATTGAACACGAACGTGTGCTGTTTGTGTCACTCATTATTTTCAAAGTGAACATCGCTCTCCTTCATGTTCATTACTTCAAAACTAATCTGTTCAGTTCACCGCTCACTAGGCATTCATGCACAACACTGATCATCAATAAATAACACAACAGTTCAGAATCCTCCTTCAAATGACTTGTTTTAGAGTAGCATTGCATTTGAAGACAGCTCTCAACACAGGGATGAAGACATGTCAGCATTTCTTTTTTTTTTTTTTTTTTGTTAGGGTCTTGGTTCTGTTGAGTTTTCTACCTTAAATTAGTGCGGCATAATTAATCTACCGGTAACTGCAATTGCAATGTCATGCTGTGCAATTATGTAATCGCATAAAAGACTGCGATTTTTGTATTTGGCGCCAAATTGGACAAAAAAAGGTGGATGAAACGATTGGGACTGACCGTAAAAAAAGCCCTGCCTGGCTTTTGAAAACCGAGCAAGTCTGCCTGAGAGTGCACGACACCGGCACAGAGTCAGCGCGGTTGATCGAGAGTGCTGGTCAGAATTAAAGTTTTGGTTTTCTCACTCTAAATAATTTTACTTTCTTTTTCTGGTGTTCCTTTTTCTTCTTTTTTAGAAAATGGTTGATATCATCCATACTGTTGCAGTACTGTTACAGTATATAATACAACTCAATTATGGATAACAAGAACGATTTCAGCTATTCATTTAGTTTAGCTGTCACTTTTTATGAGGAAAATATGGAATAATTCATATAATTTTGACTAAGACATTTGTTAATGGGTTTTCTTAGGGAGATGCGAAGCCTAATATTGTAATTTTTTTAATTATTTCTTACCAAACGTGTTTAAATATCCAAAGTTTATTGAGCAGTATTCCTTCTACATAAAACAGCTACAATGTTTGAAACAGGGTTTGATACAAATTCTTATATTTATATAGTTAATACTAGTGGAAACAGTACAACCAGTGAACGTATCTGTAGTTTGAGCAGCAAGAGAGGACAACTATAATGCAAATGGAATGATTATGCATTGATATAATTTTTCTATCATTGCTTATTTTAGGTATGTATTTATAGGTTTGTATGTCCTACACTATTAAAATGTTCATATCCAGATATCTCTAGTAGGTCAGGTGAGTTTCTGACTGTGAGCAGGTCAGGTTTCAAAGCTGTCAGACATTGAGTTATTAGTCAAGATTAATATAGTAGTTGTCTTTTTTTGGTTAGAGGTCTTTGTTTTTTTAGTTTGAGAGTGTATGACAATGTAGCACCTCAGTTAGCCCAACTCTGGCATCCTAACGAGAATTTTTTTCGTATATGAGGATGTTTCATACTTCAGAAATGCAGGACTCCTTGACTTCTAGGCTTTCTGCATTTTACCCATTGTGTAGTTTCTCATTTTCATGGTTTTAGGTAGTTGCCTGCCTCACATTCAAAATACTCTCAGGAGACAAGCATTTTTAGGAGATTTACAGTATTTACAAACATTAAGTATGAAGTAAGCCAATGGAGCAGGAGCTGCAGTAACCCTTGAAAGATAAGTTAGTTAGCATAGAACATGTTATTCTGCTAGTTGAGAGAGAGAGAGCGCTGAGAGATCTTACTGGGAGTTTGAGGTGAATCCGACAGGTTTCCGTTGGAATCCAGGAGCTGAGTCAGGGAGAAATGAAATCTGAGGTGGTTGAGACTGAGGTCAATAATGATGGTCTCAGGAGCATGGTGGAAAGCTTATCAGGTTTGTACAGAGAT